TTTTCAGAGTAATGAAGTTGTCATAGTTATCATCGTTTTCGCCCTGTTCATCATCATCCTCCTTTTCTATCTCATTATCCTCTTCCTCTTCCTCCAATTCGTTTTGATTTTCTGAGACATCATCTACCATATACTCTCTGTCTTACTTGTATTTTTTCTTCGCAGTCACTGTCGTCATCACTAATAAATCCTTCTATGTCGGACAGTTTTTCCAGCTCTTCCAGGAGTTCCTTCTCAATTAAATACTTTTTTGGAGGCATTTTACTCTAAAACAAAAAATAACACTGAGTCATTTTGGCTACAATTGTGCCCATCAAATTTGAAGCACACTTCTATATTTGAAAAAAATCTAATTTCAATAAAATATATTCACAATTAATAAGAAGTAACACTACTATCAACATTGCACTGAAATATAAACGGCGATTGACTCTATTCAAACTAATATTTGAAGAAACAAGTACACTTACCTCTTATGAACAATGCAATTGCCGACATATTGCTTTTGACATTAATTTTCTTATAGCACAAAACCATCCATGCGCCATCTAGGTACACAATGCAGAAGTATAGTACTTATAGAATATAGATTTCGATAAACTTGCTTAAGTTGCAGATTCCTGTAGAATTATATATGCATTCAAATTAATGGGTACAATTATACCCAGCATGACTGAAAGGGTTAAGACAGCCATTATTGCTTTTTTTCATAAGGAGGGTGAAAAATAGAATGTCTGCAACTATAGACATATTGCCTTCCTAACGATCCTGTGCAAAACATTGAGAGACTTACAAAAGTCAGACTTATGTCCTTTCTAGTTGAAAACAACATTTTATCACAGAGTCAGTTAGGCTTTTTATCAAATAAATGTCCCAGTGATGCTGTTTTCTGTACTACATGAGGTCTATCAAGCACCAAACAATAATCTTTACACTGTCGCTGTTTTTGTGACTATGCCAAAGCTTTTGATTGTGGAAATCACATTTAGATAAAAACAGCTAATTAGAGCAAATAATACTGAGTGTGTATTACCATGACCGGAGTTTAAGAAGCAATAGAATTTTGGAACGACGAAAGGAAGTAACTATTACAGAAACACCGAAAATGTCCACAGGAAGAAAACTCTAGTAAATAAAAAGTCGATGCTGTAGAACAATTCGAAGGAAAGTACATTCATTTTGTTTGTAAAACTGTTAGCAGACAATAATAGTGACGAAAATATTTGGGCTTAAACCCTTAAAGCATTATTATTTACATTTTATATTGTACTTGTACTATAACCGACGTTTGTCGTGATGGTTATATTAATTTTATAACATCTTGTACAAAACTAAGAGAAGGTATCGATATAATAACTGTATTGAAGAATCCTATACAAAGACCGTTGTAATCTTCTGCCATAAAACTGTACTATCACTACTATCATATATTTCCAAATCGAGTATACTAACAAAATTTTAATAAAATAATGTAATTGAAGTTGGAAACATCTTCTAAATCAAAATTGCCCAATACGTTAGAAGTAACAGTAACCATTCCAGCTCTGATTCGTTATAGAAAAATAAAACAGCTGCCGGCCTCTCGGAAACATGGAGATGCACGTTATCGTGGGTACATCGATGGTGAGGAATGACATCGTGATCTTACCTTTTTTGTTTTGTTTGCACTTCATAAATAAGTAGTTGATGGGTTATGGTTTAAGAATGCCAATGTTATGCTTTAACTGTGTATTTGGAAGTGATATATGGAATCACATTCTTGAGATAGTTTCTCTAGTTTTGCAACATCTATTTCCATTATTAAAATATCTCTTTGAAAAAGGCGATATTTTATTATGAATATACGACCGCAAGTCTCGAAAATAATTTAAATATTTAAATTTAAAAAATACAAATATAATACTAAAATCGATTAATTACTATTTGAGCCATTTCGGCTTACAACGCCAGTTTTGGTCCAGAGCTATGGTCAAGTTTTAAGAAGCACTACTACACAAGGGAGATCCCATTTTAACAAAAAAACTTCTTCGAGAAATTCTTCGATAGGCGCTCAATAAAAAACCTGTGAGTATTTAAAGCTTGTAAGAGATATGTATAAAGACGTAACAACTAGTGTTAGGACAGGTGTGGGAGAGAGACGTTTATTCTCACCAGTGTTGAATCAGATAGCTACAAAGATAATATTCCCTACTGATTAATCTTCACAATTCACAGGAGAATTGTTAAAACTCTTGAATATGAGATTAGTGACACACAATTTGGCTTTAGAAATGGTATGAGTACAAGAGATGCTTTGTTCGGCTTGAATGTGCTGGCTCAGAGATGCATGGACATGAATCAGGATATGTACTTATGTTTTGTAGACTTTGAAAAGGCATTTGATAAAGTTCAACATAAAAAGCCTGTAGATATATTAAAAAGCAAAAATATTGACAGTCGTGATCTGAAAATTATATCTAATATATATTGGAATCAAACTGCCAAGGTAAGAGTTGACAGCCAGTACACCGAAAATATCAAAATACAGATAGGAGTCCGCCAGGGTTGCATGCTGTCCCCACTACTTTTCAATGTCTACAGTGAAGCGGTATTTCAAGAAGCGCTCTCAGACTCAATAGAAGGTATATCTATCAATGGAGAAGTTTTGAATAACTTACGTTTTGCAGACGATACAGTAATAATTACGGATAACAACAATGATTTACAGAACCTAATGCAACGTCTTAATGAACGCTGTCATGAGTACGGACTGAAGATAAATTTGTTAATTGAGAATGTTGATAACTATAAATATTTAGAAACATGGATAACATCAGATGTAGACCAAACCAAAGAAATTAAAACACGTATTGAAATAGCACGTACATCATTTATTAAACTTAAATAGTTTCTTTGTTGTCGGGATATAAGGTTAGAACTACGCCTGAGAATGCTTCGATGTTACGTGTTCTCTACTCTTCTTTATGGTCTGGAAGCTTGGACACTCAAACAAGTTCATCTGAATAAGCTGGCCGCCTTTGAATTTTGGTGTTACAGAAGAATCCTACGAATATCATGGATTCAAAAAATGTCAAACATGGAAGTAACTAGAAGGATAGGAAATGAGGCAGAAATAATATTAACTATTAAAAGACGAAAACTTGAGTAGTTGGGACATGTGATGAGAGGGCAAAAATACGCATTATTACAACTTATTATGCAGGGCAAAATTCGAGGAAAGCGAAATGTGGGAAGACGAAGAGTATTCTGGCTTAAGAACTTAAGGGAATGGTTTGAATGCAGTAGTGCAGAACTTTTTAGCAGAACATAGCCATGATGATTTCTAACCTTCGATAGAAGATGGAACTTAAAGAAGAAGACTGATTAATCTACGCTAATAGGAAATACTGCAAGACATTTAGAAGAACTAGAAAGGTCTTGAAAACAAAAGTTTATAAAATTTAATAGGACAAAACAGGGTGTTTGGAATGTTTATTTAAAAATGCAGTTTCTACTACAAATAAAATTATTACGTGAAAGTTAATAGTTTTAATTATATGGGATAATAATATTATATAGAGATGCATACGTTATAGTTAAAGCAAGATGGAAAGAGATGAGAGTATGTGTTACTTGGAATAATTCCCATCACTCTCACGCTGACGGCATAAGCCTCGCTCCATACAAAGCTGATTCGCTAGAGACTTAATGCTGGCATGATCCTAACTTGATGCTGATGTGACTATTATTGATACAAAATGCTAATAAAGAAGGACTACGGAAAAGGAACATACATTTGATCAACATCGTGAACGGCCGTAAGCTGCAGTGCTTGTGACATATAATGAGAAATTAAGACAGATATGAGCTACTCCGATGTATTTTACAAGGTAAAATTCAAGAAAAAAGAGTCCCAAGGACGAAGAAAAATATCCTGGCTTGTGCTGACCTAAGAGCATGGTATAGAAAGACCTCAATATAACTATTCCGTATAGCAACCAACAAAGTCATCATAGCCAGAATAATGGCCAATTCGGAATGGACAGGTACCCTAAGAAGAAGATGATTTAGTTACTGTGGCAAATAGACAAAAAACCTACCAAAAAGTTTGCAAATTAAAAAAAAAATGTTTTAATAAATACATAATGAAAATCAACCTAGAGGAAACTGATGTTACTATGGTTTCCCAGAAGAAAGTGATGTCAGAATAGATCAACAGACCTATTCTGACATCGCAACAGATCAGATGACATATTAAGCAAGCTAAGAATTTCAAATATTTGGGCTCGACTGTAAATGCGGAAAGGAAAATGGAACCAGTAATCAACAATACGACGTAACGAATGCGACTAAAGATTACTACACATTAAGCAAGGCATTTATTTGAAAAAATAAGATCAGTATCAACTATCAGTACCAAAATAAAAGTATTTAACAGTGTATATTTGGAGCCGGTCATATGGTCCGTATGGATAAAAATAGTAAAGTGAACCTACTGTGACAAGCAGTAGTGGACAAAAAATGAAGAAGAGGCAGACTAATATAAATGTGGAACAGCGAGATTAAAAAGGCCTTGGAGAGGCGAGGAAACAGTTGGAAGAAAGCGGCGTCGATTGATCAGAACCGCGGCATTTGGAGAGGTTTCTACTCCAAAACCTCGAATGCCTTACACTTGAAGAGTAATCTGAGTAAATATCTTTTAATTCTTTCGATAATTTAAGAAGAAATTCAACATTCATAAACTGATTTTCTCATGGGATCTTCACAATCTTTTATTTATGCACACGACTCTTCTTAAATTTTCTATCTTGTCGGCTATCATTACGGTTAAATGAGTACAACTATTATTGCTGGTGAAACCATAATAATAATTTCCCGTTTCTGATTCAATAGCTTCTAGTGCATTTCCTCAGAATAAACGTTAAATAGGTGACAGAGATTAGCAAAGGTTAAAATTATTTAAAACTTTCTTTACACCATCATTTACCGAACTATAAAAAACAGCAAAAATTTAGACTTACCCCTGTCCGTAGCAATAACAGGAAATTCATAAACATTTCGTGTTTCGTAGTCCAGTGAGGAACTGATACATATTTCACCACTATCAGAACGCACTTGGAATTCCTTTAACTTTGTGTTTCCTTCGCCCAAGGTGTAATTCACCATAGCATTGACGCCGCAATCTGGGTCTGTAGCAGAGACCTGTAAAAGAAAAGAAGCAAAATCAGCCAAAATCTTCTATAAATAGAACAGAATTAACAGTTTATATATCATTTGAATTAGAAGATCCAGCAGACAAAAATTCTACCTTTACTGCACACTATCTGGTTTTGCATTGGTCTCTAATACAAATCTTAGTTATCTGTCCCACGGGACTCACTAGACAAGACCCTATAATTATTCTAAGAATACGTATCGGCCACACCAAATCAACATACAACTTCCTGGTGACATCAGATGTCCGGCATATCTGTCAAACACGCCAGTGCCAATTAACAGTGAAACCAGTGGCCGTTTCTAATTACCGATTAATGGCAGCCGGTTAATACTAATAGGTATTTTGAGAACGATTTCCGAAGTGGAAATTGAAACGTCAATAAACGTACTTTAACCTTTAATTGTGGCTTATTCCCATTTATATAGTAACTAATTTAAAATGCCACAAGAAAATAGCTCCAGAACAATAATAATTGTTAACCTGTTTGTAATATTCTTTGTAAAGATTTTGTAAAGTTATGAAAGAAGTGAAATTGGTCAATAATTTTTCAGGTCTATGGTGTCTCACTTTTTGTGTATTAGTATTGTTTTAGTATTATTCCATTGTTCGGGTATGTTACCTTCGAATAGACATTTATTAACTAGTATTTTTAGACACTTCGTATATAATTATTTAATTTTTTTCACATTAATTTTTCTGTTAGGGTGGTCCCGTGCGAAACAAAACTTTCTACCCAACCCCGGTAATCCAGTGAAACCCAATAGGTATGTGAAAGGTTTAAGGCTGACATGATGGTACAACAAATTCTGGATCTTTTTAACATCTTGTCTTTCACACAAATAATATATCAAAGTCCCATCCGAGTGAGTTTTAGAAGTGTTTTCTTAGACATGACTGATTATAGCTCAGGTATGAGGTGGGAGGTACGTCATTACTAAGGAATATGCATGCTGAAAAAAGCCTTAACACCGTATACAAGTTAGGGGTAAGAAGGACACATATATGTTTTGAAAATAATAATAAACGTTTTAGTATCAAGAAATGTTTATATAGTCTGTCTATACGAATTGAAAATTCTATTTATTTATTGCTTTTACTCTAGCATGTAGTCCTAGAGCATATTGTGAAAGTCGTGCGAACTTGGGAAAAACCAGAAACATATACAATTTTTGGTGATTTAATTTGTTTAACATATCAGTCAATACAATCCTGGATCTATACTTTCTCTATTGAGGCACCCTAACATTACCTTTATTAAATGGACTCCAACTCTGATCATTTATCTGATCATTTTTCTAACTTGTTCTTGGTTTTTATCTGCATCTTTTTCTCGTTCGTAATCTCCAGATAATCATCTCTTTGCTCTATTTCCCATTCTATCTTCTAATTAAGTGTCCTGCTCAATTCCATTTTAAGAGAGCTTCAAAATTTTGTTTTACTACGAATTTACATATTTGTTTTTATTAATCGATTTTCAGTTCTAGTTTGGATTTCTTTTAGGTTTTCTGTTTGTGTTTGTAAAATATCAGGTTTTGGGAGTATGCCAAAGGCGGTTTAGAAATCTCTAAATAACATAAAACAGTATATTGAATTTTATTTTTTCACCACTGTATATAACTGATCTATCATACCTTTATCGTACTGTACTCGAATTATTATTTGTTATGGTGTTTGGAATTCCTATTCTAAAGGATATTTTATTTAACGATACGTTGATGAAAATCCTACACATATGTTATATTAGAAATATAGGCTGAATGTTCATCTTTACTTGTAGACCAAAAATATGCTTGCGTTTTTTTTAAATATTACGAATTATTCAATCTTTCGAAAGAACTGTATTATACTGGTTTGCTTGAAAGCTACTGCTCAGACTGCTCAATGTTGTTTTTCCAAAGAAAAAGTGCGAGAAATGCTTTTTGATCATTTTCGTTTTGTAGACAGAAGGTTTGGAAAGTATCGCATGAGATGGCAACCTCCGCCAAAGGTTCTGATGTATCGTACTGATCTTCATCCTTATTTTTTTATTTGTATCTGTCGCAGATAAAATTTTGCCATCGGTTAGTGAACCTGAGGCAGCAACATCTTCATCTACTTGATCAAAATCAGAGAAACTCACACCGCTCATGTCAACTAATGGTTCTGTTGGTGGTTCTCCATCATCCATAAGTATTGGAACATTTCCCTGATGTTCTTTTAAGAAAGCGGATTTTTTAAAGCAGTTGAGAATTGTTAGGAGTGTTACACCTCTCCATGCCTTGTCAATTAATAAAATAGCTGTCAGATTCGTGATATTTGCAGTTAGATGCTTGTCGAGTGATTCTAAACCGAGCTTAACATTTTCTTTGTTGTAAAACGTCTTAAAATTATGGATGATCCCTTAGTCCAATGGTTGCGATTTGAAAGTTTTATTTGGCGAAAAGAAGTAGAGTTCTCCATTAGACAATGTAGCAGGACTGTTGTGAACATTGCGATTATCTAAAAATAGTAAAAGTTTCCATTTTTGCCGTTTTTTGTCCCCATTAACTGTTAAAAGCCAATTGTTGAAAAGTTCTGTTTGTCATCCAAAAATTGGCACGACAATCCGTAGAAACCGACTTCACACCTTTGAAACATTGCGGTTTCATTGCTATTCCTAGCACTTAGAGTTTAAGTTTTTCCAATCGGTTTATATTTACTGCCAGTCAATATCTATTTGGTACTATCTTTTCCCCATGACGTTTTTCATCTTTAAAAATAAACGTTCTGTCCGGTAAACGTTTGAAAAATAGGCCAATTTTATTAGTATTAAAAATGTCTCGGGCATCATAGTTTTTAATCAAGGTCTTCAATTTATCGTGCCAATCTAAGCAAACCGCAACATTTCCACTTTTCCCACAAACTCTTCTAAACATAACTCCATTTCTGTTTTTGAAATTTATTAGCCACCCTTCACTTTCCACAAAGTTTTTGATGCTTAGAGTAGACGCAAACCCTTTTGCTTTTTCCTTCAACAAGTTTCCTCTAATAGACAGTTTTTGTCCTCTTCACTGTCAGCCAAATGACCAGACTTTCTTCTAGGAAATTCACCCTAGTAGTTCTTTTCCATACTCGAACAGTTTGAGCAGCATTAATTTTCTGGCTGTTCTTTATTATGGTTGAGAGAGTACTTAGAGGAATCTTAAATTCTTTTGCAAAATCAGTTTTCTTCTCACCTTCCTTCTTCACTTTCTAGGGCTCATGACTAACAAAATTTTAATCTGTTACCAACTAAAGAGTGTAACTATCATCATCATTATCATCATCTTGGCCTTACAACCCTGTGTGGGTCCTAGCATCCCCAAGAATTCTCTTTCAGTCCATATCCATCGCCTTCCTCCGCCAATCACGTATTTCCATATTTCTCATATCTTGGTCTATGTTATCTAGGAATCTTGTTCTGGGTCTTCCCCTTCTTCTTTGACCAATAGGTCTATCAAGGAGCGTTTTTCTAGCTGGGTCGGTTTGCTCCATCCGCATTACATGGCCCACCCACCTCAGACGTCCTGTCTTAATGTGTTTTACGATGTCTGGTTCCTGGTATATTTTATACCATTTTATTTAACGCTCAGTAGATTCACCTTAGTATTTTTCTTTCGAAACATCCTAACATCTTTTCATTGCTTTTTGTTAAAGTCCAGGTTTCTGAACCATATGTTAGGACTGGGCGTATTATTGTTTTGTAGAGTTTTACTTTTGTATTTCTTGATATAACTGTAGATGTAAAAAGGAGATTAAGCCCAAAATGGCATCTATTAGCCGTGCAAATTCTGCGGTTTATCTAACCCATTTTTGTAGCCGCTTCCTTTAGTTCCTGCATACGCATCTCGTGCTGCGTTTTCTGTTCTCCCAACAATATTGACATCATCAGCATATGCTAGGATTTGCACAGATTTGTTATATATTAAACCGGTAGTTGTGATTTGTGACGTACGTATTACTTTTTCCAGAGCTAGATTGAATAGTATACAGGACAGTGGGTCTCCCTGACGTAGCCCGTTATTTGTATTAAAAGGTTCAGAGAGTTCCCCCTGGATTCGTATTCTGCATTTAACTTTCTCAAGAGTTAGTTTGGTTAGACTTACCAACTGATTTGGTACTCCCAGGTCTATCATTGCTTTAAACAATTCTCTTCTATTTACAGAGTCGTAGGCTGCCTTGTAGTCTATAAATATGTGGTGCGTGTCTACACCATATTCCAGTGTTTTCTCTAGAATTTATCTCAGGGTTGAAATCTGATGAATTGTTAATTTACCACCTCTGAAACCAGCCTGATATTGTCATTATTCGCTCTGCATATGGTGCCATACGATGGCATAGTATATTAGAGAATATTTTATAAGCTGCATTTACAAGCGCAATTCCTCGATGGTTAGAGCATTCAAAGAAATCTTCCTTTTTGTGCATGGTGCAAAGTATTCCAATATTCCAATCACTGGGGAGGGACTTCTGTATCCATATCTCTTTTATAAGCTTCTGTAGCGCTATTATACTATCGTGGCCACCTTCTTTATATAATTCCGCTGGGAGATTATCTATTCCGGGTGATTTGTTTCTGGCTAGTTTGTTTACAGCGTCTTTAACTTCCGGGATCGTTGGTGGATTCTCCTCCCTCTCGTCTGCTCCGCTTACCTCACAGCTTTCGTCTTCCTCTATATTGAGTATCTGGTTAAAATTTTCCGTCCATCGATTTACTACGTCTGTTTTTGTTGTTAATAGATCGCCATTCAAACTTCTACATTGATTTGTGTTTGCCTTGAATTCTTTTCTATTGATGTAGAGTGTAACTAATAACTAAAATTTAGAAGAAGTTTGTAGTCAAATTAATCCTAACAAAAACAAAGAGGCGTTGATACAAGTATGACCTGTACTTACTACAATCTTTACGCCTCTAAAGCAACTCACTACAACTTTGAGTGGATATCGACGAGTTCGAATTAACGCGTCATTTTGTTATATACCAAT